TATATACATATATATATATATATATATATATATATATATATAGAGAGAGAGAGAGAGAGAGAGAGAGAGAGAGATCATATGTAATAACGGATCTGTCCTATGGTGGAATTACACAATATTCCATCATTGCTTTGCGTTCGTTACCGCTGTAAACAATCTGAATTGCAATACTGGAGCACCCACTAGTGGATACAGGTGGGACATGAAAAAACTGTAGTCTCTTGTGAAATTCAAACTACTACTGTTATTTACTTTGTTTCAAATGTAACCATAAATGGTTACATTTGTAAACATTATAATTAAAGTTTATCTTGCGAAAAGGCCATGAGTTCAAAAGTTTACATTAACTCGGTAATGGTAAACCAATTTGAGAATAAATAGCGACTTTTTTATTAGACACAATTGCGAAAAAATACTCTGATTGGCGTTGGTCAAAGAGTTGAAAATGGAGAAAAAATACTCAAGGTTTCATAATGTGACAAACTGCTCTGCACGAAACTGTAGGGCAACGAAAAAAGTGTACACGTTGGAAGTGTTATTTCACTGTATTTGCAGAAGTAATATGTGCTCTCCTAATTAGTGTTTTTATTAATACAGTGTTAGAATATTGATAAATAAACCGTTATGCGTTAAACAAACATACGAGTACAAATGGTAATGCATCTACTGTGTGTATTTGTAAACTGTAAACTATTTTCTTTTGTTGCGTCTATGATTCTTCCTCCCCAGTGCGTGGCGACCCAAAAGTGTGAATTCCGAATTCAATCAACCATCGAAAAAATATTCTGCGCAGGCGCGCATGAACGCTCAGCTACGCTTGTGCTAAAATGGCGTCGGCTGCCATTTCCACAGAGCTGAAGAAATTATCGGAATTAAGAGTTGTTGATCTAAAATCTGAGCTCAAACGAAGGAGTTTGGACACAACTGGCGTGAAGAGTGTTCTTCTGTCCAGACTAAGACAGGTAAATAAATACGCAATGTTTTTGCAGTTTGAGCGAGTGGCTGGGAAGCTGTGTTGCTAGCGTTAGCTAAATTTGTGACTGCCATTTGTCCAACCATATCGTATTAGCCCAAAGGCTTTGTAAATTGACATGATATTTACTTAACATACTTTTCACAGTTAGCAGACGAATGCCTGTGTGGATTGAGACGTTTATTAGCTGATATAATCTATTAGCTGATATAAATATTATTTTGGCACTTAAAGCGAGAAATATACACTTAAGATAAATACCATTGCACATTAAATACAGTTATGAACTCTGCAGAGCTTAACTTTCGACAGTACTGAAGTGGTTTTATTTATTTGCCGCTTACTTGTACTGAAGTACCTTTTTAAGTAGTAACAGTGATTTGTGGTTTGGCTAAAAATATATGTATGTGATACTTGGAATACAAAACAGTTGAAAATGAAGCAAACGGGAGATAAAGCAAAGATGAATTTACTTTATGGATTTTTGGTCTGTTTTCATAATTATATACATATTTTAAGGCTGTTGAAGATGAAGGAGATGACCCAGAAAACTTTCAGATACCACTTTCAGGTGATACTTTGCCTCGAAAGGTTGCAAAACTTAAAGGTAAACATGCCTTTTGTTTGCTCCATTTATGGGGTTTGTCAAAGTAAGTTTGTTAAATTAAAATAAATTGACTCTGTTTTGTACATTGTTATACTACAGGAAGACGAACAGATTCAGATGCGGACACCACAACAGAAGAGGATGTACTATCCAAAGTGAGCACTATACCCTTTTTATTTTTTGTACCCTGCCAAACGTAAAGTTTGACATTCTTCAAAGGAGGCATTTTGAAGGCCTTACCGCCAATTCAATATCTTTAATAACTTAAACATTGTTTAGCCGAAGATAAAGAGAGAGAAAGAAATTATTAGGTAGTAACCTGGAGTGACAGAATACACATCAAGAGCTTCTTGTGATTATCATTGTCTATGGACACTGCTGGGCATATAATAAAGAGCCCAGCCACTGAACACAATGCCTCTCAGAACGCTTGTTCAAAAAACCTTTATTTGTAGTTTTTGAAAGTATATCAAAAATGTTGGTTATTGTTAGAACTTTATAGAATTAATTTTAGTTTAGTTACTTTAACTGTTTAACTGTCTTTTGTTATAAAATAAAGACAAACAAATTTGGTAGAAGAACATATTTTTTGACTATGACTAATACACTTGGGATTTGTAAATTATTTGTAATAGTGTTTTTTTTCCCTCTTTGCAGGACATTGAAGAGTCTGAGTCAGAAAAGGGTATGTATGCTAGCTTTTATTGTTTATTAATTATTTTTTTAACAGGTAACAGCTAAGCTATTCAGTAATGTTTGCTGCTGCTGCCAGTTTCTGTGCTGTTACCACAAGGCCCTGAAGGAAGTGGAGGCATGTTAGGCCAAGAATCTTTGTAGAAACTGATTCTACTGTTTTTTGTTTGTGTGTTTGTGCTTGTCATTGGTACACACATGAATAATTGGTTACGTGCTTTTAAGAGTAAGGTACTCCATTTCCCTTACTTTCTTAAAACATTTTTAAGTTATCTTTGCTCCAATGGATCTTCACTGTCTCTGGGCTTCAATTTAATACAATTTTCAAGAAGAACAAATGTTTCCAACAAATTGACATGTATGTCCAATGGACAGAGAGAACCACAGGAAGGAACGCTCTTTGGTGGTGACATTTTAACCACAATTCAATAAAATCTCAGAGGGTAGGACTGCATACTGGACTCTCTGTATCATGGAGATCGGGCATCTTATTACATGTTTGACAGGAAGACCCCGTAGCTGTCTGGGATTTGTTCATATCAAGGACCAGTTGCTCCCCCACACATCTCAAGCCATGTCAGTAAAAGTTGAAGGATTGAGCGCCATTCAATACAGTCAACGTCCACTGAAATTGCACACAAAAATCCCATCTACCCCCTTAAGTGTGCAGTGAACACGCATTCAAAGGACTACCCAGCCGAGTCTTCTATTAAATCCAGCCTTTCAGCAGCTTGGACTTGGTAACAAAAGTATTTCTTTTAATCTCAAGAACTGTGACCTTGAACTGTTTATTGAAGAAACAGTTGAAGATGTTCAGGAGTTACTCAAGTTTACATGATGTTTCATGAACTGGCCTTCTGCTACGCAATGATGAACTGATGCATTCCGTTTGGACTTTGACCTGGGATTTCAGTCTGGTATACTACCACTCACTGTAGGAAACTTCAGGACGCACATTTATTGTGAAGTGAAGTTGAAAAAGTGCATCATGTGTGTCATGAAGTGAAGAGCACTACCTCACCATCCATATTCAGTGAAGATTGTGTGTCTTGTCTTCATGTGATATCCACGCCCTTGATGACCATTAACACTCAATGTGTTTTCTATTCTATTTTTGTTGGTCAGTTACGATGCGACATATAAATGTTAAAAGTTGTGTTCTGCCATGTTTATCCTTTATTAAATCCCTCAGATGTAACTGATACAGATGATGGTACTCGTGAAAGTTCTAAGCCTGCACCATGTGAGGAGGACAGCCTCGCACAGCCTGAGGCTGAAACTGCTAATGAAGCTGTGGCGGCTGAGGCTGATTCTGAGCCGGAGGTGGAGACCCTGCCAGAGGTCGAGGCTGATGGTGAGGTGGATGAGGAGGCTGACCCTGACGAGGATGGGGAGGCTGAGCCAGATGGAGAGGCCGAGCCAGAGGGGGAGGCCGAGCCAGAGGGGGAGGGCGCGGCAGCGGCCCGCGGGGGGAGGGGGGGGTGGAGCCGGAGGGAGAGGCGGAGCCAGAGGTGGAGGCCGAGCCAGAGGTGGAGGCCGAGCCAGAGGTGGAGGCCGAGCCAGAGGTGGAGGCCGAGCCAGAGGTGGAGGCCGAGCCAGAGGTGGAGGCCGAGCCAGAGGTGGAGGCCGAGCCAGAGGTGGAGGCCGAGCCAGAGGTGGAGGCCGAGCCAGAGGTGGAGGCCGAGCCAGAGGTGGAGGCTGAACTGACTGGGACAGATGATGAAGCTTTGATTTCCACCAAAGAAGCAGAGGATGATCATCTTTCAGTTTCGATCCCAAATGACGATGCCCTCACCATAGATGTTGATGGCGATGACCTCCTGGAAACAGGTAAACATGTGAAACTTCCAGATCCAGATGCCGAGAAGGGCACAGACAAGTCCGAGGCCTCTGGCGAGAGGGGCCCTGTCGATGGCATGAAAGCACAAGAGAAGGAGGGCCATCGAGATGGCAAGAAAAACGAGGGATCCAGGTGTGATTCCATGAAGAAAGACAGCAGAGACTGCTCAAAGAAAGCTGAAACGGGAGACAAAGAAAAGGATTCTGGGAAGAAAGGCCCCTCCACTACTGGGGCATCAGGTCAAGCAAAGAGGTTTGTCTTTCTATGTCAGTTCTTTGATACTTCTACCAAGTCCAGCTCACTATGAACGCTACATTGTGAGTAGCCTCAAGAATGTTGTGCCATAAGGGAAATGATCCCTGATGTACCCTAATCCTGCCATTAATCCTGCTACTTTGCTTTGTTGTTGTGAAGTTGGTTAAAATGTGCCATTTTCCAAGAGATGAGAAACACCTCTTACTTTGATACTTTGGTGATTCCAGCTGTTTTAAAGCCTTTTCCTGTTCCCACACAAGACCTTGCAAAAGAGCATTAGTCCTCTCGATGACGGCAGTGTTTTGTTTTGGTTTATTTTTATTTTACTGAACAAACTGCTGAAGATTTCATTGATCCAGAGAAAAAATTGGCTGGCAACCTCATCCCTCTCGCACTGGAAAAAAGCAAAGAATCCATTGAGACATTGTCATCACCATGCCTTTACCACAGGAATGTTTTCTCCTAAGATTTGTCAAATGTTTTTCTCCTCCAATATCTTTTAAAAGTTTTACTTATATACCTCTGTATTGTTTATTTTTGTTCTCACTTTTTTCTGGTTTTGCAATATTTGCCTTTATAGCTCTTCAAGAGACAGAGATGGAAAGACTACAAAAGATGATAAGGGTAAGATATTGGCCAAATGTATGCCATCAGCTCTGAATGCTATTTGTATGTTTTTATTTGATATCCTATATATATTCCTGAATTATATTCTTTGGAAACCTGTCATATTAGGAACTGATAGCACCAACAACTCTTCTCGTAACATATGGGTGAGCGGGTTGTCCTCAAACACCAAGGCAGCTGATTTGAAAAACCTCTTTGGAAAATATGGAAAGGTGAATGCATATTTTTATGCTAATTCTCATTTTCTCAGACAATTCCAGTCACCTGTATAGTCATGAAACAACTTTGTCTCCAACAGGTTCTCAGTGCAAAGGTCGTCACAAATGCTCGCAGCCCAGGTTCAAAATGCTATGGCCTTGTGACCATGTCTTCAAGTTCAGAGGTTGCACGGTCCATCGACCATCTCGACCTCACAGAGCTTCATGGACAACAGATATACGTTGAAAGGGTGAGTAAGCTCAGTTGCTGCTATGGCTTTTTTAAAGCAGTGACATCAGGTTGTCCCACTATCTCATCACCTTCCCCACCCCAGTTTTGTTTTGTTAATAGTGTCACAGACAAATTGGCGAGGATAGTACTAGGCCTCGTCCATAGCGCCATCCACAAAATGTTGTTTGTTAAGTACAGTAACAAGGGAACTGTTTAGAACAATGATTGATCTAAATAGAATCTATGTTGCATCTGTTTTGTTTTTTTTTACCTTTGACTACTGTTGTTCTTTTAGGCCAAAAACGATCCTTTCAAAAAAGAACCCTCAAAAAATGAAGGCGAGGACAAAGCAGGCTCCACCAAATCAAGTGACAAGCGCAAGTGAGTTAGAAAACAAATTAAGAATTCAATCTGTTGTTTGGATTAAGTGTAACATCGTATTTCTCTTTCAAAGGCTTCAGCCATCCCACAAAAAGGAAGATAAGAAATCAGATAAAATTTCAGAGAAGGACAAAGATTTTTCCAAGAAACAAGAAACCAAAAGTGGAAAGTCTGAATCTGTTTCATCCAACAAGGGACCAGATCCTTTTAAGAAAGATGAAAGAAAACATGGACGTAGGTCTTTTTTGAATGTAGTTCTCAAATAAAACAAGAATTAACTGTTGTGATTTGAAGGCATTCTATATATTTTTTTTAGGGCCAAAGAGCCCGATGATGGCGGTTAATCAAGTCAAAGGAGATTCCAATTTTGGCAAAAGGAGACCTTTTCGAAGGGGGCGGTATTTTGAAAAAGTAAGAATTACTTTATATATAATAGTCTTTTTTTTTACATGTATGTATGTATTTTTTAACTACCTTTACAAGTCCTGATATTCCATTTAAACCTTTTAGGGTCCAATCAATATGAATCCTCAAAGGCAACCAAAACATCTGATTCCACCTGAGGAGGTAGAATATTGTCTTTCGTCACACTTAGGCTATAACCTGTCCTATTGTCATATTCAGTGTAATTGTATGGTTCTTTTCAGCTGGAGATGATAAAAGAGAAACAACGTCCAATGATGTTCAAAACAGAAGGTGACGGCATCCTTCCTTTTGAGAAGATAAAGGAGCAAAGAATGCGTGAAAGGATGGCTCGCCAGGAGCGTGCACGCAGAGCTGAAGCATTGCGCAGGTATCTAGTTTCACTGCATTTAGAGTGAATGTCCACACCTTAATTGGTGCTTGGAATATTGCAGCAGATGTTGACAGCAGATCTGAATATAAAGTATGATAAAGTCAACCCATAACTGTAGAGTCTATGCACCTGTATCGCCTTGTCTGTAGTTGTAATCTGTCCAAAAGAGAGGCTTAAATGAATGTGTGTACTTTTTCCCAGGCGGCGGGAAATTGCTGAACAAGAAAGACGTGAGCGTATCCGCCTTCTGCGAGAGCGTGAAGAAAGGGAAAACTTGCTCAGAGAGCGTCAGAGACTGGAGATGGAAAGACAAAAACTGGAGCGGGAGCGCTTGGAGAGAGAGAGGCTAGAGAGAGAGAGGATCCGTATTGAGCAGGTGCAGTTTCAAACTAAATTTGTTACACACATCTTTTTGATCACAACTAGTCACAGTTCACCAGTTGAACTGCAGTTGATGCAGAGAAACGGCTTTACTTTCAACAAATCACCAGTGAACATTAGCAGTGTCACAGTCAAAACTGTTCTACAGCTATTGCAGTAAAACTATGACAGGTTGAAACACTTTCTAGAAAGTCGTTTCTAGAAATTATAACATGGATTGAACAAGGCTTGGACAAAGCTTACTGTAACAAATCTAAACAGTTATATTTAACAGTTCTTCAATATCATCATTAGGAAAGACGTAAAGAGGCAGAGCGCATGGCAAGGGAACGCGAGGAGCTGCGGAGACAACAGGAACAGCTCCGCTTTGAGCAAGAAAAAAGAAACCACCTGAAACGAGGCCGTGATGGAGAGCACAGGTACATCCATCCTCTTATGTCAATAAGATTGATAAATGAAATTTATACGTTTCTGTTGTATGACTGTCTGATACATATTTAAATACTGCACTTATAGTATGAACAGTATACTTTTAATTGTATTTTTAATTAATTTTACATCTTCATGTGAATGTTGTAGTAGAAGAGATGACTCATACTGGAATGGAAACAAGAAGATACATTCTGAGTCTGATGCACGTTTGAACCAAGGTTCCAACTACAATCGGCAACATAACAGGTTTTCCACCTTCGAGCAAAAGGATAGGGGTCGTTTCCCTGCTGCTGCTGTGGAGCAACCCAACACATACGACAGGTACCATGCAACCCTATAATACAGATTTGAGTATTTATGTTTATACTTTTATTTTTATATTTATGTTATAACTTTCTTTTATATTTAAAATATCTTGTTTGTTGTCCCTTTGTTGCATCAACATAACAGGATCCCCTGTGTGGGTTCAATTAATTTCAAGCTAATGCAATCTACTCATAAACAGTTCACTGACTGACCACGTAATTAACTCACTAATTCGACTGGTAGTCATATAATTAAAACAATAGGGTTTTTTTTTTTCAGACGTAACCGCTTTGAAGGTGAACCAGATGCAAAGAAAGCTCGGCCTGGTCCTCAGAGACAAGACTCTGGCTTTCAGCGTTACCCCAAGAACTTTGAAACAGTCCGCAGAAATGAGCAAATTCCTGCTCCACGCAATGAACTCCGTGACTCTGACCGCAGAGACAGAGATGAGAGACGACCTGTCCCAATGCACAACCGTCCAATGGGAGCGAAAGGTCCGATCTCTGGCATGACAACCACTCGCTCACCCAGGGACTCAGGGAGTGGATGGAAGAACAACGGGGTGTTGAACACAAACAAAGGCGACATGAGGTGAAAGAAATCTCATGATAACACAAAACCACAGTAAACCACTACATTATATATATTTATCTAAAATAATATAAAACAGTGGATGTGATAGTTAGGTAAAGTGTCTTTTAACATTGTGTGCTATTCCTTTGTGTATTTATGAGAGTATATTGTGTGCCATCTCCTGATTTACTGTGTTCTAACATTGAATATATGTAATGTGTAGAGGGCCATTGCGAATACGTGCTGAGCAAGGTGGCAGAGAGGGTCCAGGACCTGCACTCAGAGTAGGGTCTTCAGCCAGCCACGGAAGGAGCAGCTTAAGTGATCGAGATGGAAGAAGACCCATGATGAATGAGGTAGGCCAGTAGGCTCACTCTAGGTCAAGATGTTTATATTATTAACTATGGATCTAATATGGCATATAAAATTCCAAGTGCAATTCACTGAACCACTGCTGATCTTCCTTTGCAGACATTTTCCTCCAGCCGGCAGGTTGTGGTTGAGCGCCACAACAGGGATCAGGGAATGAGGAAGGAGTGGCACAGCGGATCAACTTCTCAGGGTGGCAGCTTCTCTGATAATCGCAGGATTGGAGACAACCGCAGCAACATGATGGCTTCTTCTAGGTATAACAGATAAGATGAAGCTGTCAGAAAACCAGAGGATGTTTGTGTTTTACAGCCTTGAGTAAAACAACAGTTTCCACATAATACAAAATAATTTTACATTAATGCAAAGTTGGAACTTAGAATGTGTTTATGATATTGTGCAGTATCACTGTTAATACTCGCGCAAATCAAATATTAAAATCTCAGGGATTTGATACATCCCTGTTGTTTTTCTGCAGCCACTCCTCTGGAATGAACCGAATTGTACAGATCACCAGCAATCCCATGCCCAGTGGAAGCAGTGTGGGTGGATTTAAGCCCTTTAAAGGAAGTCAGCGGCAGTTCTAATGGTAGCCATTCATTCCTGCCACTAAACAGCACCTGGAGATCTTTGGGACAGTTTTTCTTTTTGTTTTAGGTGACACAATTTTTATTTTGTGTAGACACGTGTTTACCTCAGTGTGGGCTTCTTTGGACAGCTGTGCTTTTGTTAATAACAGACCTTGTGCACATGTTTTAGGAAACTGTTGGGCAGCCCTGACTCTTTGTAAAGTTTTAAAGTTATGTAAACAACTTCCCAGTGTGAGTCTTGCGTCTACATTTTCAATTGATTGGTGTCAAATTCAAGTTTTCCGGTGAACCATGTCTTATTTCAGTGAAATATAGAGCTTATGAAATGCCAGATCTTTTGTTTCTTGGCAGGATGTTGTGTACATTTTTTTAACCTTGTTTATTGTTTTGAAAAGATTTGAAATATTTTTGAACCTGTATCCTGGAATAAGTCTGCAGCTAGTCTGTAGCAAAACAAACGTACGTGGGTTACAATTAATTAACAGCAGCGAGTCAATTTAAAATAAAACCTTACTCTGATCTGTTCCTCCAGCATACTGCCTATTGTGAGAAACACAAACTTCCAATACTTTTTTTGTTTTAGGGTGTTTGATAGGAGATAAATGTGTGTCTGAAGATTTTCCAGCTTACTTTGTTCTTGGCTCATATTTGATAAAAATGTATCTTTTTTTTTAACCCTCACACATTCAGGTCACGATATTTTCAGCAGAAACATAATGTTTTCACTTTTTTGCTCATAATGCTCCTGCTAGGATTCTAAAGGAGTTATTCTTTAGAATAACCTTTTGGAATTTATCTTATCTGTTTTATTTATTTTTGTTGTGCGTATTCTAAAACTATGAACCCTGATCTAGGGCTGCACCTAGTCATTGTTTACGCACACACCAGTTGTTATTGTTGATTGAATGTGATTAAACTACAACAAAGCGAAACAGTAGATAATTAGTGTTTTGTGGGCATTTTGCATATTGTTATTATTTCAGAAGTATATCTAAAATTATTACTGGAAATATTTACAAAAACATCATTCCAAACATGTTTCCTTACTAAATGTTTACAGTACAAGTGTTGTTGTTCATGGACAGAAAGAGTTAGGTCTATAGGGTAAGGAGAAACCGGAAGTAGTGAGAAAAGTCTTGGTATATGGATATTGATATTTAGAGGAACAAACAAAAAGACCACTGTCCCTTAAACCCAAATATTTTATTAACAAGAAGAAAAGGATTGGTATACACCATGAGAAAAAATAAAAAATATTTTTCTTGAGATTTGTATTATTTTTGTAACCTTTAACAGGTTCACAGTCCCCCATTGTAAGGCATTAAGTAATATATATTTGTGCTTGTGCAGAAGGGTACATAAATTTGGTCATTTATGGCAGTTTTTCCCAAACCTTTTTGAACTTCAGCTTCCTTTATATAAGAGAAGTCCCACGGAACATCACTATGAAATGCATCTGAAATTAAATACCATGATCCTGTAGAAATTTGACTCAATTTAAACCATGGGCCTGTTTAGTTGAACAACAACACTGATATAAACAGGAATTGAAAGACAAACCATTCAACAGCTCTCTTTTATTATTGTTTTAATAGCCATCTACAGCCACCTAATGGGTCAGGATGTAATTATTCTGCCATACTATAAGCAGGAAATACAGATTAATTATTTGCAGTAAATATACAGTATGTAATGGCTATCTGACCAATTAAATGAAATTGGATTTCATTTTCAAATTTTCCACAGTCCAACTGATGATCTCTCACAGCACACTGATGTGTTCTGACACTGGTTGGGAATCAGTGATTTATGGAACTTGATGTCAAACTGCATTTGATACAAACATCTGGTATTTCAGTATTTATTTTGCATTTTGTATGTGATATATTCATGTAGTGAGGGAGACAATAAGATTATCTGAAGAAAGACTTTTTTTGTAGATGTTTAGACATCTACACTTACCTAGAGTCTGATTTTGTATTTGGAGGGTTTTTTTCTCTTCTGGTTTTTTTTGGATAATGCAATTCTTTCAGTCAAATTCCGTTATATACTTGTTCCTGACTGATAGGACACCACTGTTGTCTCCTGGCTTTTGGTGTTAATTTATATTACTAATGTTATTGATTACTTTGTCACCCTGTGGACATTGCGCTCTTAGTGAGAGCTTCATCGGCATTAATCAAAGTGACTGGATCTGTTGTAGCACCAGAATCTCCTTTCAAATAGATGATCAATACAAACTAATGCATTCGAAAATGCCCTTATTCACTTTTAGATGCCACATTTCCCTCCAAATAAATTTGGAAATACAAAAGTTTAACAACATATGGCATATGGAGTAATATAGCACCCTAAAATGATTTCCTGATTTTTATGCTGTTTAAAATACACGTATGACTGATGGTAAATGTGCTAAATGTTCTTTCTTAATCCAGTTCTCCTAGAGTATATTCCTTTTAATTCTTCAGAAAATATGCCCACTCAAGTCTTATCAAGAAATGTACTCTGTAACTTGCAGAAAATATCTTTTATTTGTTAAAAATCAAAAAAGAAATAATTGAAAGTTTGTTTTAATCCACTCTGAATAAGGATGCTTTACCATTGTGGAAGAGCAGAAAAAACAACTTTATCACATTTCATTTGTTGGACATTTGGACTCATCCATTTAAAGAAACACTTGGATAAAAAAGATTTGTATGTCAATTAATTTAGATTTTGATAAATTGTAAATAAAGGAGAATGTGGCAATTTTCTTGCAATTAAGTCAAAGAGAAGCTGTCCTGCTATCCTACTGTACTCAATATATTATCAAAAGTGCTATGCGACAAGAACCAGTTCATTATAAGATATCATTGATGTCTATAACGAACTAATTGAGAAAGAATAGTATAACTACTGTTTGTTCAGGCAATCCCATACTGTTTTTGATTTGGTTTCATCTGCATATGTACTTTTTGTGTAGCTCTTTTAAAAATATCTAAAGTAGACAGACACAGTAGGCCGTATCGTATTCAACCACTTCATCACTGCATAGCACTATTTTTATCTACTTTAACAGAAAGTTCTGATTGATTCTGTTTAACTGTTTCTTAACTGTAACTAACAACCTTTAGAAGTTAGCACTGTGGGTCACAGCCCGTCGTTTGAGAAACTCTGCTTAATGTGATTGCCTTTGTGCTAATTCTTTTAAGTATTACCCGATTGTTAAAAGGTAACAAAGAACAATAGCACTCTTGCACATTGATGTTGTGTATAAAATGAGGTATGTTTCTCTTCCATTAGTGCATATAATGTAACAGTGCAAAACCAATGATACAATGATTATGTGTAAACAAGCAGCAAGTGAACAGCACTGAACCTCACCATCACTTTCAAAAGACATACCAAGAAATCACACTGGGACATTAAACACAATATTCTCTCATCCCCGACATTCATGGCAGGAAAGAGGCTGAAACACAGTACAACAAAAGTATATCTTTATCTGCTAACAATGACTAAAGGTGATGCACAATATATCTAAAAAGATAATGTGAAATTTACCATAACCAACATGAAGTCTTTAAACTGACTCCTACTGCTCTAGGTAACATTTAGTTCACGTCAACTGGAATGTTTAATCAGCATGTACACTGAACGACCCCCAGGTGTTTCCCAAACAATTAAGACAAGTTCGTTTATTTTCTCTGTTAAAAAACTTGCTTTTTTCCCCTTCACTTATCAGTCAATTTAACTGACTAATTTAAATGTATTCTAGTCTCTCTATTTGCAGCAACACCTACCCTGTCAAGTTTTTGTAAAATTGTGAATTATGTATCACAAGGGATGTGATTCATAACTTCCTTACTGAGTCAAAGCTGTTCAGCCACACACAGAACCAACGGCAGCTGTCACCGTAGTCTGTCTTTTTGTGATTAACTCCTGACAAACTCAACAAGGTTTTTTAATGCGCTAACGCTAGTTAAATAGCAAAGCTCAACAGTTAAGAGAACTTTATGAGCGTTTTATAGGATACTGTACTTTGTTAAAATTGGCTTTTATAGCACCCTCTGCAGGAGATGGACAGGAGCTACGTGTTGTGTTTACCAACACAGACACATTACTGTTTATTCTAATTTTAAGATTTGCGTGTATTGTTGAGTAGAGTACTTCTAAATACATATATGTTGTTATAATAAGACAATAAGAGATGTAGGTTAAAAAAAAGTAATTTCTTTATATTAGTTTGAGAAACACTGGGGAATAAACATAAAGGAGGTGAAACTGGATGAAAACCAACAGAAAAAGCACAAATGTTGCCACAAAGCTGTAATGTTTGCTTTTACCTGATGATTATGTTGTAACGGTGTTTATTCAAACAAAGTTCTTAGGAGTCATTAAAAAGCATTTGCACAGTTAACAATGTTCCTTAACCCTGTTCAATAAGATACCTTATATACCAAGTAATTGGAGAAGGAGCAGCTAATAAGAGTTTTTAGTGTCAAGTTTAAACCAGTGACAGGATAGTGTTGGATCCTCCGAAGCCTTAATATTAGGAAGAAAGTGAATCCAGCTGAGGAACTGTGCCTTTACAAATATGAAAAAGACTCTGGAGAAAGTGAGCCTTCTGTCAAAGGCCTGATGTTTGAGTGGAAGAAAAGTCGACATGGATTGTCTCAATGTACGATGATACATCTGTTTCCTTTTGTCTTAGAAAATATGTTGAATTGTGGTCGGGTGTCATATGTGTATGTGTACACACACACACACACACACATACATGTTAGGGTCAGGTCCCCACCCTGAAGGTAGCCTGCTGCCTCCAAGTCATTGTCCTGTGCTGACAGTGTATTTGCTCTCACAGAGAAAAGCAGTGAAGAGTTTCTCACCAGCACTGCAGAGACCTGCTGCTGCGAAAACCCTCTAACTGTAGAAGAAGAAAAAGGCATCCAGTTGGAATGTATAGATAGAAACATTTTGCAGGAGGCAGTCCCATGGTGCAACAGTGGCACAAGACCCAAACTCAGTCTGTCATGAGAACGGATTACACAGTTATGTATGTACATTTGTATTTTTTGACGCTGCAGTGAAATGTGCACAAGCTTCAAGATGATGCCACAGAATATCAGTGTATAGGATGTAATACAACCGTGTGATTCTTTCATGTAACTTTCTGGTCAACCATGTTTACCAATTCACTTTGAGCACTTTTTAGATTTTTGTGGTAACTTGACTTACCTTCGGTCATCGTGTGCCAATTCTTTAAATTTAGCCTAAATAATTAGCTTGTTTTTTAAATATATATATAATTTGCTGTGGTAGGAATTTATTTTCTCTCTTTGATAATTATCGTTATTATTTCAACAATTGTTTTGGTGAACATTACATCCATACGACTGAATTCTGTGGCATTTCCACTTCTTAAGACACTTGCAATAAAGACAAAAAAACGTTCTTTCAGAACCATCACACATGTAAAAGGTTTCAGTCTAATACTACATCTAATCTGTTGAAAATTACTTTTAATAACCACAAAGCTGCACATTTGTTTTTAGAATTAGGACACATGCCCTTAGGTTGAAGTTTGACTTGTGAACCACAGTAATTTGGCCATGTCCAATTAAAACCAGTTTACCTTTTTGACACTGTGTGAGTGAATGAGCTGAGTGTACAGCACGCAGCATATACTGTGCTGTACATATTCAAAGAGCAGTACAACAGCACCACCCTCTGTAAGGGCCAAGATTACTGAGTGAGATGTGACGACTGAGTGCTGTCATGATGCTACAGTATGTGGCAGCTCTCTGGCAAGGACAATGACACTGCAGTGTTACATTAATTTCCAACAGGCAATATTAAGAAAAAAAAAATCCCTTTCAGCTTTAACAAAACACAAAAATGCTGCCAAAGCTTCGTTTGTTTAAGCAAATACATAAATTAAATGTGAAACTTGGCATTTAAGCAAAGTGAATGATGCAACAATACCCAAAGAATGGGATCTGTTTACATTTAGTGAATAATAATATTTAAAAAAAAAGATATATTATAAGCTACAATAACAAAAAGTTAGTGAATATTTTTGGGGTGGAAAATATAAGAATAGCATAACATCTTTTTTTTAGATTATATCTTAATTTTGTTTAGATTTAGATTTTCTTCACTATAAAATATTCCACCCTACATACATTTGACCCCTAGTCACAAATATAGTGCACTGTGCAACTTGTAACAAAGTTTGGCCAACATTATGAAAGATCAGGGGTAGTCGTCGTAGTTGTTGCGGAAGCGTCCCTTCCTCTGACGTCTTGGTGTTGAGGACTGCAGGCACCAGTGGTTCAGAGACAGCTCATCCTCTGAGAGTCCTCACAAGTCTCTTCCCTCTCTTCATGTTTCCTCACCCACTGGGGCTCTGTCTGGTGTTTCGGTCCATGGAGAACCATATGCTGTCGCTTTCCTTTCAGAAAAACAATACGCACAAAACATACTACTACATACATACACACACACACAGACACTCTGTATGTTACAAAATTATACACTTGTCCTTGTCCTTGTCCTTTGCTTCTTTCTTAGCTTTGCGCTCTACGCTCGAGGACTGTTTTCCTGGGCTGGTTGTGGCTCCAGCTGCTGTCGCTGCGGTAGCAGCACCGGCTCCTGCTGCTCCCCCTGCTCCTGCACCTCCTCTGTCCGCTTCATCTCCCCCGGCGAGCTCCTGGTGGCCCTGATGCACAAAAGGGAATAAAGAGAACTCAGAGTGAGTATTGTGATGTTGAATTAGAGTTGCACTTTAGTTGTGGACAGGTGTGAAAAATGTGCTGTGAATGAGAATACGTTGGAAACCAAAGTAACAGCTGTTTTACTAATTATAATCAAAAATACTGTTTGCATAAAAATGAGACACAATGCATAACTGGCCCCTTCCATCCTTGCCTGTCCAATCTCTCTGATCACTGACATATTAACCTGTGACATCTATTTCTGTATTACATTTATTCCTCTCCCTCCTTTCTGACCTGTACTGCCGCTGCCGCCGCTGCCTGCTCCTGCTCCTGTTCCTGGTAGTACTGGGATGCTCGTCTGTCCTCCTCTTCCTGCAGCTTTTTGGCCAGCTCCAGATCGCTGATGCCCTCAGGGAGTGGATCCCACTGGAGGTCCTGACTCTGCTGCTCCTGCTGCAGCGACAGCGCCATCAGGTAATCCTGAGAGGAGACGCATGCAGGTGGACACTGTAAGTGACTCTGATGTCTATGTGATGTCTATGTGTTTTCACTACACTAACAAACTTGGTCATTCCCTATGTCTCCACCTCATCTAGCCTTGACTGGCTGAGTTTTCCACAGTCCTCTACTCATCCTACACTTTTAATAATAAATAAAGCACTCAAATGTACAAAGAAAGCCTGATACTATTAGGTATGTACAGTATAGCACTTACAGAGTGCTATACAAAACACAGTAGACTTTTTATGAACATCTGCATGGTGTTGGTTTGTGACTGACTGTAACACGGATTCTTACTGTTTTGTATCGTGAGTTCAAATCGTGAGGCAAATAGTCAACTGTGTTGAGGATATTTTGATGCTCATTTTGGGCCTAGAATTATTTTATTTATTATTTTATTATCACATTTTTTTAATGTATGACAAAAATTAGGAGTGGTCTAAAGATAAGAACCTGGCTAAACATGGTCCTTGTAAAACGTGCCTAACAAACAGCCACAAAATGCAATTTTGTAAAAACAAACAAACAAACATATAATCAATGTTCTGTCTAATTCCCTGATCACTTAGACACATTTTTTTGTCATTTTAGGTTAAGATACACTATTCAAGCATCTTCCTCTGACTGACTTTGATACAACATGTAAATGTACAACAGACTACAAATTTCTTCGATGTTACCACATTGATGATGTAAGCATATTTGGCCTGAAAAGATTTGAATCACTAAGCCTATGTTGTCGAAGGACTGGTCCCAAGTTGGCACAACCACGAATGTTTGAATAAAAAAGGCTTCAGTTCTCAGATGTAATCTAAACGTGTGGAGGAACAAAAACAACACTATCTTTAGATAATCTGGGCCTGCTGGTTTTGTGCTCTGACCTGGTCTATCTGATCTTGTTGGCCACGGTACACGGTCTCCGGATCTGATGGCGGTCGCAACCGGAACTCTGAATCACAGAAGTTGCCGTCCCCGTCGACATTATGCAGACTTTCCCAAACAACCTTCTCCTCTGTCAGAAAACCTTGGTCTGTAACCAGGAGGTAGAGTTGGCCCTGAGGAACACATTCACATGGTATCAGTGTTAATCTATGTAGTCTCAGTTAGTGCAGTTGGTCGTTCAGCCTGGCCATAATGTCAGACACAGCTTTGATTGTTTTATCAACTGTAGAGTACAATTCACGACGACGTGGACTAAAGGAGATGGAATGTCCCCACCATAGATTTCTTTGCTTTGGTAAATGACCTGAGATGCTAGCACAGCCTGATGTTTCCAGGTAAATATTGTGCTGTCTGAAGCCCAAAGAACAAACAGGAATGACTACAAATACTTCATGTTTAGACGATCTGAACAATGAACAGGTTTTCTGTTTGATTTCTCCTCTTATACTCCCTCCCGTTAGTGTATTTCTAAGGCACCTGTGTTGGGTTTACCTTGTATTTGATCATGGTGCTGAAGTGATTATTCCTGAAAAAGACACAGAGCTCTCCCTCCTGTACAGTGGACGTCAGCTCACACAGGCCGTGGTACGTCAGTTGAGTGGCTGTGCTGCTCAGAAACTGCTCTGCTACGATACCTGGGAGGAGGAGAGAGAAGGAGAAGGAAAAAATGAAAAGGGAAATGTGAATAAGAAGTAGCCTCATTTCCATAGATGTGTATCTCCTGAGATCAGTACAACATTTCCAGGCTTTTTGCCGGACTTGGCTGGGTCAACTTTTTCATATTTGAATCCATGATTCAAATTAGGCCTCAACCAAGTTTATTATATTTCAGTGGCACAGTGTGGTGTGCAGTGATATTGTGATATTATGTGGTCTGAGGCTTTACTTGATATTGACTGGCTGTAGTGGACACTGAGTGGACTTAGTGGCTTTTTAATAAGTGACATCTTTTCAACAGATGAGCAAACAATTTGTATGAATGAAATGGCATTGACATTTACAAAACAGACACCAATTAGTGTGGTGTTCATATTTGTGGAAAAGAGTGGGAAGAGTAAGGAGAGTACAGTCACCCACCTTCACCAGCCAGCTCACTGTTGTCTGACTGTTTGCAGGATATTATCTTCTCCACCAGCTGGTTGTAGCTGCAGTTGCCCACTGCCTTGACAATGTCCTGCATCTACAAACAGAGATTTAACAGTGTGGGAAAGAACATTCACCGAGCTTTGGGAGAGACGTGAACACTTGTTTGCATTGTGATACTGCAGTGGCCTGAGCCAAGAAAGAACAGTTAGGAAATGCCTATCCTTTGCTCTTTATGGTAACGTTAAGCTAGGTTTATTGACTTTTAACTTTTAAGGAAGTCAAAATAAGAAGTAATTAAAAGCACTATCTCACCTGGGGGTCAACCAGCCAGCCATGGTAAAGAGGGATGTCCAGGAGATCAAATACTATGCATTCAGGTGTGTATTCAAAGACACGCACCCCCGTGAACTTCACGTTCACATCCAGACCTGTCTGTAGCTTGTGCAGCACAGCCATGGCGTCACTCATGTTCTGTGAGGGGAGGTAAAAAAAAAAAAACAGAACAAAAGAAACTGCTGTTCAAATGTGTGGTAATAGCAGAGAATTGTGTATTGATTTTGTCGAGGCACTCTCCAACTGTTCCCACATGCTCCGAGCTATCTTTGATACACAGCCTGCTCACAGGGCAGCTGCAGCTACCACTGATTGATTTTCTGACCTGTACAAGAAACCATTAGCTGCAGAACAACACAGAAAACCCCACCTTAACACAGGGCCTGTCTGTTTACTTTCAAAGCCATTTAATTTAGCCTAAAGTAAGCTGTTTTATATTTACTGCTCTTTATTTGGTTTGCTTGACCTACAGGCACCTACTGCCAGGAATCCGGTGGATATTAAATTTCCTCGGAGGCTTTCAGACTCGTCATTGTCATGAAACATAATGTTTCCCGATGACCATATCATTAATGAGTGGACAAAGTAAGACAAACAGCAGACAGACGTCTGTGCAGCTCACAGGGTCTGTTTGAACTCTGGTGTTTTCGATCTTTATAAGAGACACACAAAAGATGAAGGGGAACAAAAGGTCCTCAGCCGGGCCCTGCAGCCCACTCATTATGTCTTTTCACATAATTTAACCCCAGCCACCACTGCACACCACGTCCTTCTGCAGGTATGAACAGGCCAAGCTGTGATACAAGTGAGGAAACACACAACAACGTAAGTGAAGCGAGCCTTTGGTGTTCATAAATACACTAACAAGTCACTGTATTAGGTACATCTGTTTAACTATGCATGAGGTCACGCAGACACACAATAACACAACTGCTACACTTTCCACCAGGCCTCAGAGTGGTGCTTTATAAAACGTATTACGTGGTATGATTGTAGTGTGTGGGATATTTTCTTGGCACACTGTGGGTTTCAGCAGAGCTGAGGTGCCACTGATCGACTGTAGGTATTGTTGCAGTGCATGACCCTCTCTTTATGACCAGAAACTGACTCTAAACTGGACTCTTGAACGCAACAACCAGTTCTTCTGACCTAAACTGCCTCCACATTCACCAGGTCTAAATCCAAAAGAGGCTTTGGGATGTGGTGAAACAGAAGATTCACAAGAGCCCACAGTAAATCTGCAGCAGCTGCCAGACTGACTATGCACATGTGAAGGTAAATCTGTGATTTAAAATCTGGTAGATTAGATCTGGTATTCACTGAAGTGTCCAGTGAGTGTATAAATGGTGAACACTCTCTACTTGTGTAAATGTTGTCTCCTGTCTATGACCACTATGGCACTTGATGCTACAGTTTTTCCACTGACCCATTTACTAAGACACTTGAACATGACATCCATATGAATCACTTTCTTTCTGTCCCATTAACACGCAGGAGTCACAGCCACTGTGAGCAGTGTGTGGGTTAGGTGTCTTGTCATGGGACGCATCAGGATGTAGGGCAGCCAAGACTGGAATCAAACCCTTGACCTATAGCTGAAAAAGAACTTGCTGCTCCTTCATATGGTACTGCACAGCTACATACCAGGTATGTGAAGTATTACAGGCACACACATACACACAGAGACACACACATTAGGCACTACAGGTCAATGTCTGGTTTCACCAGATTTAGAAAACAATTCAATGAAGCATTTGACCTTTCACTGCACTGTATAGACATGTGGGTTTGAACACATCAAATCATGAGAAGCCACAGCTACAGTTGGCAGCACAAACACACAAGGGGACCTTCCACCCCAGAGCCATGTTCCTCAGCTGGCTCTGGCCCTGCACAACCGTTTCACTGTAGCAAAGGTAAACCTTTACAGCTGAGCCCTACAACTCTGTAAGGGCTGTGTAGTGTATATGAAATACATCCTCAAAAGTGGAACATGAGGAAAAGAACAGAAAAGCAAAACCACATTTCAAAGCAAGTGTGGAGAGTGTAAACTTGAATCAGTTACCTTGTTAAATTAAATAATAATTTCACTGATGCTGTAATGAGGGCACGTCCACCTGAGAGTAGAGTGAGCGTGGCTCCTTAATGGAAGCCACCATATTGGATCCAAATTCTTTCTCATTATCTCCACAATAGAACAAAAAACCTAATAACCCATTTTGTTTGATGATATTCTAATACTGTTTACTAATGCTAATGTTTTCACCTGGGCATTGATGGGGAGCTGAGGGTTACACAGCTGCAACATGTCACCACTGCTAGATGTGGTAGAGATGATAGTTCATAAATATAGCACAGAATTGTTTGATAATTAGTTACGATGCTCGTGGTGGCCATGGATGATATGGGTTATATTTTGTTACATACAATAAGTGTTTGGCTTTAGTAAAAATGACAGAACCAGCCAAACTGCCAAAGAAATCTGACGTTGACCACTAATTGTTCCAAATCCTTCAACATGTACCAAAACAGAATTGCAAATGTTTGGAGTGATTGTGTAGGGAGTAAAGTTTGGAGTGCTACTATACATCATATGAGCAGTGAGTAAGTGCTCATCTATTATTACACAGTTATGTATGACTGCAGCTTCAGCGTGGCGCTGAGGTGAAACGCCTCTCAGTCTGTGTGGATTAGGAGAGTCATGAGCAGCACTGATGGCAGGATTAACAAGGCTGTGTAATGGACCACATCTTTATGGCTCCAGCAACAGATGAGCTTTTTTAGATCAAATGATTAGCAGTGCATTACTGACTCTCTCCTCGCAGCACTCCTGTTTTTACTGTACACAATCATAACATCGTGCAGAGGTTTCTCCATTTTTAAAATAGCTCCTCTGGATTTTACAATGTATTTCCCTCTATTTTACCAACTGTTTATTTCAGATGAGCCAGTGTTGTTATGTTTTAGAAACATATTACACATTATGACTAACAAAAGTAAGTTGCGGTAATTCTGCAGATATACTGCATACAGTAATTGTCATCTATTTGCATTCCTGTCGTCAGGATCTAAAATAGGAACTAACACACGGATAATGTTGTTCTTTGGCAAGAGTGGTAAATGATAAAGTCTGTCATGTTCCAAAATCTTTTTTTTCTCTGCTGCTGAATAGTTTTATTTAAATGAGTCATCAAGGTAATCTTCCATCCATGGTCAGCAGACTGTAGTTGAAGAAACATGCAGGATGAGGGAGTGATGCTTCCTAAAATTCACACTGATTATTTTTAAAGCTTTTCTCAGCACAGAAAGGCAGGTCAGGAAATGTGTGAAAAGCGTCCATCAGTGCAAATTAAACCACAGACTCCATTAACAAGACAAGACATTTCCTTCAGTGGATTAACACTTAGCTGAGAGCTGCTGAGCCACTGAGAGTCCATTGAGACAAAGGCAAAGCAGAGCTCCTCTCGCTGCCAATGTAGCTCTGAGTAAATATTTAACAATTACTCCGTAGCAGCAGCCTCACAACTGCTATTTAAATCCACAAACAATTCTGTGACAGATGATGTTTTTTTAAGCTGAATCTTTTAATAGAACCACGTCTGTTATGAACTCCTGTCCCGTTTCCAAAGCCTGAACTGATTTCTTTTAAGTTTGACAACAGTGCGGTGAGCGAGTGGTGAAAACACGTCTTCAAAGTGCACAGAGGAAGAAACTTTTTATTTTAGTGTGCAAATGGTCTTCTTCATTGCTTCCAACTTCCTCCCGCTTTGCCAAATGTAGTGTTTTACACATACACAGCATAAAGGCCAATGTCCAGGATTAGAGCAGCGTTATAACTTAACACAAATTTAACCTAAATACAGTGTGCTAAAGATATGCTGACATATTTGAGGGTTTCTATTTAAGTCTAACATAGATTTAGCAAACAGCCACTCAGTGATGACATGAATGGAGACTGAATATTGTTTTTTTCCCTCCTCCCTATAAGAAGGACAAGTGCAGCCTAAAATCATTCACAGATGTGCTGGTGCTCTGCCACGCAAGAGGAGCTCCACTATGTCAGCAGCCTGTGGAGAAGGGCGGAAGCTGGAAGGTGGAGCTTCATCAACATGGTAATATGCAAAACACACACACACACACATAGCCTCAGTAATAACTGTGAGCTGAAGCTAGCCAAGCATCTCTAAGCATTCATGCCTATGTGAAACCACATAATCTGACACTCCTGACCCTGTTATTCTTTAAACCCAGCAACTTATGTAACGTAAGGAGGAAAGCTAGGCTGCACTTTTATGCCGTTAGCAAACGCAACCTTTGCTTATTTCCATATCATGGTCCTTCGGCTGACCTTGTCTGCAACATGATACAAAGAAACACAGCAGTCTAGCCAAAAGTCTGTGACAGGTCGAGAAACTGTCTGATTTCAACTCTGCAGTGAATAGAGATGAAAAGCTTTGACTCACGGTAAATTAAATGTATACACATACTTTCTATTAAGAATGTACTTCGATCCTAAATTCCAATAAGTACTGCAAGTAAATAAGAGCATATACAGCCTCCCCAGTAAGGTACACTAATGCCAACAAATACAATTAGTCATTAAATGCTAGTTTACCTCGATGACTGTGTCCACCACACTGTACCACCGCAATAAACCATCTTCTTTTAATCTCTCTCAACAAGAAAAGACCACAATGAAAAGCTCCAAATATCTCCACCTGGTTCATTCAACATGCAAAGAGCTCAGTGTACTTCATTCGCCTCCACGGTAGTACCAGTTAGCCTACTAGGGAACCTTGGCGATCTGTTAAAAGAGTAGATTCACATCATGAATGTGCAAACAACCTGCAGCAACCGCATCCTGCTTTCAGGTTGAGCAAAATCTCTGAGGGACGTTTCCCGCATTTCCATGAATCGATGAGTACGGATTTAAACCATTACTACAACTCAAGGTGTTTTCAAAACAGTACAAGGAAAATGTACAACGTTATGTTCTCTGTCAATATACAAGGGCAAATAACCCACAGGTGTTAGGTGACAGTCTTTCAAGAATGCAGGTCTTACCTGCTCATAGTTTAGTCTCTGAGCCTCGGATATTTCCTTAGGCTTGGTTTCCAAAATGTAGTCTCCTACAGAGTGAGACAAAGACAGAGAGTCACAGATGAAGTGGTTAAATTCACAGTTTAGGGACAAAAACCAAAGTGCCAAAGTGTCTCCACTCCCAGTCCACTGCGGTGTCACCTGAGATGTGTTGACTCAGTTCTACAGCAGCACAGACTGTGGCAGTGGTCATAGCCTGGCAGATGACTCTGCTCTGCTCTGATTTTGTTTTTGCAGCATGATCACTTATTACAAACACCACTCGCAATGTTTCACAATCTAAAGATCAAGAGTATCCCTGGGAATATTTTGCTGCTGTATGTTTGTTGACATTTTATTTAGGTCTTGTTTTTAAGTCCACAGTGTTTTATTTATTTATTTAATTATCCCAAGGTTGCTTCGCAGATGAGCATTAATTTATTAGGACCTGGCACAATCACTGAGCAGTGACAGCAGTGGAATTCCATAAGTTCTTGTTATCAGCAAAGGCATTAATGAGTAACAGCTACACATGGAGAAAGTCTGTGTCTTATTGACTTTTCTTCCAGCATATAGAATAGAAAAATGTTCCTAGGACAAAAGATAAAAATAATTAACTAGACAAGGCTGGTTTTTGTAGTCCACAGGTCATTTCATTTATGGAAATCACAGATTCTTCCTACATTAAGCTTTTCTTTTTGTGATAACACTGATGTTTTGTGGTTTAGCCTACAAATAAGCAGTTGGTGCTATAAAACAAGTTTGCATTTTATATATTTCTGTCTAAAAAATGGAAATTAATCAAATAAACAAACAAGTTTTTTTTTAAGAATTGCTGGTGGTATCACCAATTTAATTTGGAAGTAACTATATTATTATTGTAAAGTATTGTATATCCTACCATAAGGGTTATCGACACGTAAACTGGCTCCTCTTCCTTTGGCAAAGGTGATAAAGTAGAATTACCAGACCAGCAGTGCATCGCAGCTGATTCCACTGTTTTATAATCATTTTTAAAAACACTTCAATTGACCCAAAGTTTTTTCCCCAGTGTGTTACAGTGGGCTCAGTGACTTCAATACAAACCCCTCCCTGGGTTCAGTACTGTTTGTCTGTTCTACTGCTTATTGGTCAGGGCCATGCACCACTGACTTCACTGAATTTAAACAATCTTTCTGTACATCGTCCCTCACTGCTTCACTTACCAATGAACACAAAGAGTAAATAAGACTGAGCTTGTGCTTAAAAACACTACACACACAAATGGGGCTGGTTAAAAAGAAACTGATGCTTTTTATTGTTTATCATAGAAACTACTTTATCATAGGGGGAACCCTACTGCAAAAAGAGTTTAAATTTTCTGCTACAATTTGAAACATTTAATATAAAATTGAACTGGAGACAGATACTAAAGTGCAACAATAAAAATAAAATAAAATAAAAAAAACACTGGAGAAACAAATAGGTTCACACTTTTTTTCTCGCATTGAAAAATCCAAGCTGTAAACTTGACGATTTCCAAGGTTATAAAAAGCAGGAGAGAGAAAAAGAGTCGAGTTCTTCTTTCCTCAGTAAAAGCAGGAGACAGGGTCATGGGTATTTCCGCTGTTCTCATCTCCTTCTGTGTTGACTCTGAAACACTGTAGCTGACCTTAAGTCTAGTCCTATTTGTGAGGATATGAAACCAAAGAATGTTTACTAGGATGCTGGAAAATATGTGCCAGTGCATTAAGCCTTGCTGTGTGCAGTCACCCGAATCTGTGTGGTTTTCTGCTGCATAGCAATTTATAATGTCATTACTGTAAACCTCACATTAACTGAACCAATATGAAAATATATTTTAGGACAAGAGAATCTGGAAAGATGTATATACTGTATGTATGAATGAAAAAATACTCATTGTGAGATGATGCGACTGCTGTTTCTTTTACACTTTTGATATTTGCTCTATGCCACTGCTGAACTTCAGTACACACACAGGTTTTGTGAACTGTACAGCTTTATTATGTCAAACAGTAAACATATTAAATTGAATGGCTCCTGATCAGCCAGCATTCCAAAGTATGTATCTGTTTAGAATGCACATTTCAATAATCATTATGTTTGACGACTGAATGTGTGTTTCAATGACATGAGCACTCACCCAGGTACTCCATCAGCTGCTCTGCAGTTATAATTTCCATCATGGGAGGCATCTTTACCTGCAACAGTGACACATTTTAGAACATAAAAGGAACACAAAGTCACAAAGGAGAACAAAACTACAACTGTAATGGTTCTGTTGTCAAGAGACGATCTGTATAGATCACAGTAACGCCTGTCTCAAAGTTTCAGACTTTGTTAAAATACAAGAAGAGTCATTCAGTTCTGAAGTGCAAGTGTAAAAGAATATGGGTATCACGTATCAGGTGCCTTTATGTCTATTGATGGAAGTATTGCTATCAAGTCATGGTCATTTTCCTATTGATCCATTTACCTTCCATGCCAGCAGAAGGACATTCATAATAGCCAGTAGTGGACAGGGCCCGTTCTCGTTCTGGGTGATGATCGGTGTGTTCTCCTCCCTCCACTTGATCCACTTAATGTGGTAAATGGACTGACCCGCAGTTCGGTCCTTACTGCACGAAGTTTTTGTTCCATCAGCCCCGTACTCGGTCTGCAGGGCCAGGGCCAACCCCCGATCCTCTAGTCCCTCACTGTTGAGGTCGGAACTGGGGCAGGAGTTCAGGTTGGAGAAGGAGTCCAATGAATCAATGCTTCGGGACTCGCCACCAAGGCTGGGATCGCGGTCACTCCCACTCTGTAATCCCTCCGATAAGGTGTGATCTCCGGACTGCCCCGTCTTTCCGTCCGCTGCTTTGATTTCATTGTTCGGACACAGTACCGTAGGCTTAGCAGGTTTAGTCGGTTCACTCTCTCCATGTGCAGCTAGAACCTCACCTCTATTGTATGTGCACTCCTTAGCAGGAGGTGAGGATGGACCGTCGCTTTTGTTGTTTACTAACTTTGAGGCAACACCCTCCATATCTCCTGCAGCCAGCACCGACTCATCAGGACCCATCCCGTTACTGACCACATCCTGGGACCCGGACTGCACTCTGCCCGCCCGACTTTCCTCCTTCACAGTCTCCTGAAGCGGGAGAGTTTCCGCCGGCTTTGGCACGTCCCCGGTACTGGATGTGGCAGTGACAGCGATGTGAGCAGCAACATTTGTGTTGCTGTCATTACAACTAGGGTTGACCAAAGTAGTGAGAGGAGCCTCGGTGTTCCTGCATTTCTGCGCTGCTGCTTTTACTCCGCCAACAGCGCTGAAGTCTTCAATCTCCGCTGTGATGTTGCCACACACGGAAATTCCGTCGCTGTCTCGATTCACGCTCGCATTTTTCTCCATTTCGATTTAACAGGCTATCGACAGATTTTAGCTAAATTGCAGCAGCAGCACCTTCGCTCTCAGAGACGCCATGACAACTCTGCCAGTGACGTCATCAGTGAGAATTACGTTTAGGTTTCAGGTAGGGGGCGGTAGTGAGCCAAAAACAACCAAGGGCCAGCTACTGCTGTGTTCAGGTACACTCGAATTATGTAATGCTTTAGACTCAACAACAACGACTCATTAAAATGTTCTGTAAAACGTTTCAATATTTTTTCCACCGCGTTAAATGTTTCATTAGATTATGGGTGACATGTTTAAGATTTGGATTTTACTTAAAATTTCTATTTCCAATGGCATAGGAGACACAAAACCAAAAGAGTAGGGTATGACCATATTTCTAAAATTTCCGACTTCCTTACTTTATTTTCTCACTTGAACCTCTACGTATATAATATGCTGCCCTGGTAATAACATATACGTACATATTTAAGTTAATTAAAATTATCATTTATGTATAAAGTGTGAAATAAATCTCATTTTAAAATAAAGGGTATTAAAAATAAAAGTGTATTAGTTTTGTGATTAATGCAATATTGTAAACGTGATAAATTGATTGCACCACCGTATGTGGACACTAGGAGGCGACCTCTTCTGCCATTGTGAAAGCCCATTTCGAATATAATGATAATTCAACAACAGTAGTAGTTTTAATGTTAACATTAATGTGTATTTGTGCCTGTGTGTGTGCGCGCGCGCGCGCATGTGTGCATGAGTATGCATGTTCCTGTATTGCATGACTTTTCCTCATATTCATTAATACTCATATTCTGGGACAAGATGAAAATCATTCCAAGGACAAACGGTGTGTACAGAAATGCGAAAGACCGCACAAGGGTTAAATAAACATACATTATGTGCGTAGAACATAGAACATTAGAAGTAATATTTTTTATATACACGTGTTCCATTAAAATGAATAAATAAAAAAGATTGAATTGTTAAATTAAAAGTTATTAGAACAAACTCTTCAAATATTCATATTAATATTATTGTTGAAGTATTTTGAAAGCGCAAATTATGGTCCCTAAGAATAGCTGTAAGTCATCCTAAAATCGTAATTGTAAAAAGTATGTATTTTATCTGATAAAGGTGGCACACAACGTATTGTAGAAATAGGATGAATTTCACCCTATTGTATTGGAAAATGTTGTGAAATATAAGACTTTCTCAAATCAAATACAGAAGTGTTTTAAACACAGCTTGAATACCACTTGAGGAATAGTTATTTTAGAATATTTTAGAAGTACACTTTCTTAGGAGACGCTAATAATTTTGCCCTCAAGTCTAACATCCAAAGTTCCACAATTAATTATAATCATTAAATATGTTTAAAATATGTTAAAATGTTAAAATGTTTAATATGCTTTAGATCAAAGCTGAATTGACCAGGCTTTGTTCTCAAATAGAATTCATGAATCAGAGACAGGAAAATATGATGGGGAAAAAAAAAGAAGTTCGGGAAAGGAAAGTAGTGCTCGTCACAAAAAACTAGTGAACGCGCAGTAAAACCCGTTGGTGAGGTAACCACAGGGCGCGTAACACTGGTGTTTTTGATGGAGCCAGAGAACTAGGAAGGGCGGCTATACCTTTAAGTGATAGAAAACGAAACAAGTAGCATTCACCGTTCACTACTGGCTCCATTAGCTGGAATATTAGACCGAGAGGCAATTTCGCTATGATATTTGTTCGACTGCTTCTCACGTTGTGCCTTCTGCCAGCTATTCCAGGTAAGTTTGGCGCTAGTCTGCGACCAGAGAAAAAAAGTGTTGAGTGATCGCCAGCAAAGCTAAAGCTAATCGGATCAGACATTTGTACTCTTCCATATCAAAACTCTACAGTTAGCCTAGCTGCTTGTCGTACTGACATTTGTGTATCGGTGCATGTTCATACCAGGTTAATTAACAGACTTTGCCCGGTTAGTGTCTGTGACTGGGAGTCGGGTTAATTCGTTTTGTTTGATACAGGTGAAGTCCTGTCAGAGGAGAACAACCTTATTTTCTGAGTGATTAAGTGACACCGCAGCGGCAATGCCTTCCAACCAGCATGAGAACAGCTGGTGTGGCGCTGATAAATTACACAAAAGTGAAAAATAGTTCAGAAACAGCTTTCCGTTCTACTTAGTTCCAGTGGACACGAATCATTAAAGGCTACAGTTTCAACTATTTTTACATGAACCCATGACTTTTAAAAAATATTATTTATTCTTTATCATTGTATGACCACAGGCTTCTTTTGGTACTGGCACTTCATGACATCACAGGTCACCAATAATTTTAACACAGTACTGAAAATAATCAAATCCTGTAAAATTTGTATTCTGTTGTCTTGTAACGTAGTACCACTACGTTTTTCACACATAGTGTTTATGTTTGGTGGATTTATTTAGAAAGAACTTTTAACGAGAAATATATCTTTCAAACTTTAACTTTACTGTACTACAAAACAAGAAATATTTAATACAGAAATTTACACAAAAGCAGATGGATCACTGAGTTTTTGTTTCAAATTGATTGACCTATTTGTTTGGTTGATTTTTTTTTTTCTGTTCTTTACACTACATGATTAAAAAAGAGAATTCGCCACACCCAGGGGCTGTGTGTACACGCAGTGGACAACAGGGTGTTCCTCATTTTAAATACTGGAAAAGAACTGAGTCAAAACATGACCTTATCTGACCCTAACATTCCTATATACCTAGAAGCTTATGCTGTTACATATATCAATGATAAAAAAAAGTACCAAGTATGCAGGGAAAGACTTATGTCTAAATTGAAATGAAAACAATAAGGGTGGATAAATATTTTATGAAAAATTCATTTTCAGGCCTACATGTAAAAGTTATTCAAAATTCCCCAATGCATTATTGATTCAAATTGACACCAGGTTTACCAGACAACACTAGTATTATTTGCATAAATAAGTGTGTTTTAGCTTAACTAAATACTAAATACTAAATAATACTAATTATTTTTTCTCATAGAATACACCGTAACTGACAAAGAATTAGTTTGAACAGTGTGAACAATTACACTAGTGTGTAAATTAAATATTTGTTCTACTAACTATTTAAACAAGCACAGCTAGTTAATGTCAGATTATGACTAACTTAACTGCTATCATACATAATGGCTTGATATCTCTAACATGCTACTTGACAACACAATATTTTTATCTGGAGTTTTGTCTTTTCATTCTGAGTTTAATTTTGTGGGGGAATGTTTGGTGCCCATGATTAGTGACAGTTATTGACACTACCGTTTTCATCTCAGACAGGAAGTGATTCAATGATTTCTTGAGAAATAGGGTAAAACGTTTTGAGATTCTTTGTCAATATTTTTTCACGTCTTCACCTGACATTTCCTGCTCTATGGTGAATTTTTTATTTTAATTTTCTTAAGACAGAAGTGTCAGATTCTGTCATGATCTGGGACGGAAATCTTTGACACTATTTTGTAGTTTTCTAATTGTAAATGGCCTGTGAAACATAATGTGATGTCTTTTTACACAATCTACACCTAAAACTTTTCAAAAGTGAAATTCATGAGTTCATACAAACATGTAAAAATTACAAATTGACTTGTAATTGATTTTGTTATTTTTATTTATTATATTCTTGTTTCTTCTCTATCGTTAATACAAATGGAAGATCCATGAGGCCTGTGTCTCTCCATTGACTTTCCACACAGAGGAGAATGTTTGTTTTATCAGCATCTTTCCCCTCTTACTTCTAAATCTCTTGTTTTTTATTTTTGCAATGACTTCTGTCATTTGCTGTAAATTACTCAGTGACTCAGTGCAAGTTTTTTCCTTGCACTAACAGACAAGTCAACACTTGCCTGGTACAGCCTCTCCCTGCTCTGACAGTACAAACTCCCACCTAATGGAAACACATGAATGAATGAAATGGAGCAGTTTGATAAAGTGGAAGGTGGGGAATCTCCATCCATTTCTCTTTGGACTTGTGGAAGTTCTTAGTAACCTTTTTTTAAAGGTAAACTCAACCTCAAATGTTATCACACTTCACTGGGTGTTTTTGTGGCTCAGAACAGCTGTTATTACCCAAAACAAGCACACATTTACTATTGTATGGGTGATTGACATGTAGATTAGTATCAGAACAGCCGGCATCAAAGTTATTCATTCAGTCCCCACAATGGCATACAGTACCACTGAAACAAAACCTCAGTCTCCTGACCTCGGTCACGTGTTCTTCACTTGTCCTTTAAACTGGCCGCTCTCTTTCTCATGTGACC